GGGAAGAGCTTTGTGCTCTAGATGACCACCACACCCGCAGTGCATTTGTCCGCTCATGCGTCCAGCTCCTTCAGGAGATGGGTCATAGCTCCCACTTCTTCTATGCCCTGGAGAGGAGGTGGGGAGCCAAGAAGTGCATCGCCTGCCTTCTGATGGGTGATGGAACCTCCCTCTTCTCCCTGGATCTGACCAATGCTGAATCCTGTCAGACCCTATGGGAGGGACTCCCACAGGTCAGTGTGGGTGACCGGGACTGATTAGAAGCTCCTCTCACTCTGAGTTTTCGGTCTCCCTCCACCTGATGCCTGGCAACAAGGTGCTGGGCATTAATGGGCTGACTGCAGAGTTCTACCAGCTCTTCTGGGATGTCCTGGGCCCAGACCTTGCCACGGTCTGGGCCAAATTTGAGGGAAGTAGGGAGCTCCCCCTGTCATGCTGGAGGGCTGTTCTGACCCTACTGCTGAAGAAGGGGGATCCCCACAACCTGAGGAACTGGTGTCCCATGTCTCCCTGGACAGACTACAAGGTGGCAGCAAAGGCCATCTCACTATACCTGTGGTCCATGCTGGTGGACGCGATCCATCCTGACCAGATGTACATGGTGCCTGGATGTTCCATCTTTGACCACCTGTACCTGGTTGGGACCTCCTGGAGCTATCACGCTGGGAGGGCCTGTCTTTTGCCCTCCTATTCCTGGACCAAGAGAAGGCCTTTGACAGAGTGGATCACAGGTACCTCACAGGCATGCTGCGGGGCTTTGTCTTCGGGCCCTGCTTCATGTGAGCTCTCCAGGTGCTGTATACCTCTGCAGAGTGTTTGGTCAAGCTCAATTGGACCCTGGTGGAGCCCATCCCATTCAGGAGAGGGGATCCACTGGAGCACAGGCTCACTGCTCTACTTGGTGGTCTACCTGTCCCCCACAGACCTCTCCCTGCTGGAGAACTGGCACTAGCTGGAGGCAAGGGTGGTGGGGCAGTTCCGGCATGGGCAGGGTTCCTGAGATGTCTCTCTCTGTGTGGGAGAGTGCTGGTGCTGAACCAGCTGGTCCTGTCCATGCTCTGGCATCACTTACACACCCTGCCTGTGCCCCCAGAGGTCCAGGCGGGACTCCAGAGATGGGCACTGCAGCTTTTCTGGCTGGGATGGCACTGAGTCGCTGCAGAGATCCTGAGCCTATCCTTGTGGGAGGGGGGCCAGGGCCTGGTTTGCCTGAAGAGCTAGGTCCTGGCATTCCTCCTTCAGGCCCTGCAGCAACTGCTACATGGTGTCACTAGTCGCATGCCATGGGGCCACCTGGGGCATGCTTTCCTTCACCACTTCTGGGGGCTCCTATATGCCTGGCAGCTCCTCAGCCTGTGGGGATTCTGCCTGCAGGACCTGCGAGGGCTGCCAGATTTCTACTAGGACCTCCTCTGGGCCTAGAGGCTGGTCTCCACCTCCTGGTCCTCCGCAATAGTTACCCATGGTGCTGACATGCTCATCGAGCCCTTCCTCTGGAACCCCCAGCTGGAGGTGCTGATAGCAGAAGCACCCTGGTTGCAACAGAGGTTGATCCTGGCTGGTATCACCCATATTGGAGACTTCCTGGACAACGATAGGCAGGAGTGGGTGGATCCTGCTGCACTGGCCTGGAACATGCATCTACCCATGACACGTGCAACCTGCCATGTGGTCCAGGAGGTAAAATCTGCCCAATGCCCTTGCCTTTGTTGACCAGGTTCTACACGGTGATGGTCCCCAACCCTGCACCATGTCCTCCAGCCCACTGAAGTTTGTCACGGGACTGGCACCTTGCCCGGCTTCACAGTGCTCCCCACTCCACCACCTGAGTGGGCTGGAAGACACCAGACTTGTTCACTTTTCCACCATCCATCGCCACCACCTCTGCACACTTGTACCCCACACTGTTCATCATGCTGTCCTCGCATCCCACGCAGACACCAAGTGGTGGGACCTGCTTGGCAAGGGCATGGCTGGGGCACCCCAGTGGCTGAGTCTGTACATCACCCTCATCCCACAAGCCACTGGGGACCTCTGCTGGTGGCTCCTCCATGGAGCTGTCACCACAGGTGTATAAGTGGCAAGCTTCACAGACACCCCGGTCTCTTGTCCCTTCTGAGGACAGAGGGAGACCATGGCGCACACGACCCTCGAGTGCACCAGGCTGCAGCCCCTCCACCTCTGGAACCTCCTCCTGAGGGTCTTGTTGAATTTCACCCCCATCTTTTTGGTTTTGGTTATCATATCCACAGCCCCACCAAGTCCCGGGACCTCCTGGTCCACCTCCTCCTGGCCCTGGCCAAGTGGGCCCTGTACTTGTCCAGGAAGGAGGCTCTGGCCAGGAAGGTATCCAGAAACTGTAGGGCCACTTTCCTCTCCCTTGTCTGTGCACATTTCCAGGCAGAGCACCAGTGGGCAGCATCCACAGGCTCCTTGGATGCCTTTGAGGTGGAAGCAGTGGTTTCAGCCCTGGGGGCTCTGCTCGTTGTCCCCCTCAGCCATACTTATTTTCATGTTTTGACCCTCTGACCCACACAACATGCCTATCCTGTTCTTTTTCATTCACTGTCCCATGTATTTTGTTGTAACATTCACCCAGAAGTCCCCATAAAATAGGAGCTACTTGTTAGCCAGGTGGGCCTTAGGGCCCATGCTTTTTTGGATGTTACAAATAGACAGGAGCTTCTGAAGCCTAACCACTTGGTATCTGGGGACACTAGCCCCTTGTGTCAGCTAGACTACTGAAGCAGCATCACAAGTTCAAATTTTAAAATGCCCCAAAATCCACATTCATTCACAATTAGAACAAGAGAGAGAGAGAAAGGGGAATTGATCAGATGGGCAATGTTTTCTTGCTATATTTACAATGTTATTGAAATTTGGAAGCCTACCAGTGTCTCTAGCATCATAATAAAATAAACTCTAAATATCTATGTTTCAATGTTTGCTTTTGGTTTTATTATCACATGGTGGGTGTGTTAAGGGGGGAGAAGTGGAGGTTGCAGAAGCTGGTGGGAGTGGGGTGGAGGGATGTGAGTCAGTGTGTAGGTAAGTGTGGGGGGACTGTGTGTGGGGGTTGCATAGGAGGGGTGGGTCTCCTGCATGACCACTGCATGCCCCAAGAGGTGGTGGGGCACGGTGACACTAGCAGCGGCAGGAGCATGGCAGAAGCAATAAGCGGGGAGCTCCTGCAGACACTGCCGCCACTGTCAGCAGTGGGGGAAGGTGTGGTGAGCACCGACCGGGGGTCAGCAACCACCTGCAGACACCACCAGCAGTGAAAGCCGTGGCCAGCAATGGTCACTGACTGCCTGCAGATGCTGCTGGTGGCAGGGGTGGGGGTGGTGGCAAGCACCCCCCACAGTGAGGGGGTACACTGCCACACTCAGAAAGTGCACATGCACTGTGTCCAACCCCTACACATCGCCAATGGTTTCCTGCCCTCCACAGGGTGGAGCTTCCCCCCCACCCCCATAGCACATGGACTACTCTGCCTACAGGCTCCCAGGCCCCACCAGGGGCTACAGATCACCTCCAGCCCCCCACTGGCCTCCAGCCCCCTGCTCATTTCCCTGCTGATCTCCAGCCTCCGGAGGGTGGAGATGAGAAGGAAGACAAGCAGGAGGCTGGAGAGAATAAAAGAATGAGCAGGAGACTCGTTCCTCCCATCCCCCATTCATTCTCCTGCTTCTCATTTATTCCCCCTGTCCTCCATTCAATCCCCCTCCTCCCCCCACCCCCACACACACTTCCCAGCAGGAGCAGAGAATGTGCGGGAGGCTGTAGAGAGCAGAGGAAGTCTCCAGCTTATCTCCAGGGGCTTGTCTCCAGCCTCCCACTCTCTCCAGCCCCCTGCTCATTCTCCTGCTCATCTCCAGCCTTGGGAGGCTGGAGACAGCAGGGGAACAAGCAGGGGGCTGGAGACAAGTCCCTGGAAATGAGCTGGAGACATTTCCCTGTTCTCTCCAGACTCCTGCTCCTTCTCTGCTACTGCCAATGAGTGTGGGGGGCAGGGCTGAGAGAGCCAATGGGGAGTGGGAAGAATGAATGGGGAGTTGCAGAAAGTCCCCTCCCCACTCCTCCAGCCCCCAATCCCCTACCTCCCTGGCAGAAGCTGGGTCCAGGTCCCTGCAGGTTGCACTGCTACCTGTCCTGTGTGGGCAGGCAGTGTGCTTCAGGACCGGGGAAAGGGCCAACCACAGAGACACTACCAGAGCATCTCTGTGGAGGACTGTGCCTCTGTTGCCAGACCTGTATTTTCCCCCTGGGGTACTGTTTGACCCCTGGATATCCAGGGGTCTATTTTTGCTCCCCCGCTGCAAATTTGCAGTGTAAGAAATGTTTGTTTGTTCCTGCATGTGCCTTCCTACAGCATCTCAAAGGGGTTTGAGATGCTCCAAGAGGCATGTGCAGGCTCGTCTGGATGTGCCCATAGAATGCAATAGAAAAATGTTAAGCCTAAAAACCTCCGTTTAGGGGCTAAATTAACTTTATACATCTGTGCCAAAAAAAAACGTAGGGCCTGATCTTACAAAGACACAGACATCCAAGCAACCTTGCAAATATCAATGATTCATTGAATTCAGTGGGATTACATAATGAGATTTTTATGACTAAATCATCGCATGAACAAAGTAACTCTTATGAATAAAGGAATCAGGATTATATAATCAGGATCATATTTGGTACCAAATATTTTAAGAAAACAGAATTCTCTAGAATGTCTTACTTATATGCACTCATATCTTTGGAAAAAATAAATTTTAAATTATTTTTTGATGGTATGAGAAGCAGTGGAGTGTACAACCATTCAGGTTCTGTTGTTTATAAGCATAAATTATCCTAATGTAATGTGCTTTGAGCCATGGAGCAGCTCTGAAATCTACATTTCATAACATTATTTTCTAAAGGTTAACATGCACCCTGCTCTTTGGTACTGAGACTGTAAGTTCTGAGTATGATTCAATGTTATTTTATAAGCTATTAAATACTGACAGTACCTTGCTGAACGAAGGCTCCATACACAATCCAAATGGCACTGTGAAGAGTGGAGGAAGCAGAAGGACTAGACGGTGAAGAATTCTGTGCTTTGACTGCCTGGATTCGGTTCAACACAAATATCAAGACACCAACTATAGGGATGGCAGCAGCAATGCAGGCCCATACCGCAAAATCAAAAGGAGCAAAGAGAGAGAAGATGTTGATTTTCTCTTCAGGCTTCTTGATTAGAATTCCCACAGAATAATCCATGTACCGCTTGCTGAAATCAATAACACTTTCCCGTTCCGGTGTTATGGTGATGGCTGAAATGGCTAGATCAGCTCTCTGTAACAGAAATGCAACCAGTCAGAGTTGCAGAGTGGCTCTGAAGTACACATTATTATGGATTCTGTACACCTGACCATGAGAGTTACAAAATAGCCAATGGCGTATGTACATAATTTATTCTTTCTCTAATCTGATTATAAATTGAAATTTAGATGAATATCTATGTTCCTACAACCTTAATCTTTCCTTCTCAGATGCTCTCTCTCCCGTTCCTAGCTACTTATCAAGAGCACCATGAAAGCAGTTTCAACATACTCTAAGCATTGTAACACTTTGGATTTTTTTGTGTATTGGATTGCTTTTTGTGTATTATATATTGAGTCTTTACTGTTACCCATATGTAATATTTGAGTTTCTCATACACATAAAAAATTGCACAAAGCAATAATATATATTAGGAAACTATGACTTAAAACCTTAAAAACTGGAACAAGGTCTCAGATCAAGTCCTGAAATACTTTTGAACTCATTATTTAAATAGAATTCATGTTGAAAGTGGCTTTTTCATAGTTTCATAGTGCTTAGGGACAGAAGGGACCTAAACAGATCATAAAGTCTGACCCCCTGCCCTGGGCAGAAATGAGTGCGGGGTCATAACACCCCAGCCAAATATCTGTCTAGCCTACTCTTGAAGACCCCCAAGGTCAGAGAGAGCAACACCTTCCTTGGGAGTCCATTCCAGAGCCTGGCAGCCCTAACTGTAATGTAATGTCTCCTGATGTCCAGCCTGAACCTTCTCTCTAACAATTTGTGGCCATTATTCCTCATAACCCCCAGTGGGGCCTGGGGGAACAGAGCCCCACCCAATTTCTGCTGGTCCACCCTAGTGAGTTTGTAAACAGCCACCAGATCCCCTCTCAGCCATCTTCTGTGGAGGCTGAATAGATTCAGGCCCTTTAGCCTCTCTTCTTAGCGCCTGACCTGCTGCCCTTTAACCATGTGCGTGGGCCTCCTCTGGAACCTCTCAATGCTAGCCACATCCCTCTTGACATGCAGCACCCAGAACTGGATGCAGTACTCCAACTGTGGCCTGACCAATGCCTCAGAGGGGAAGGATCACCTCCCTGGACCTGCTTGTGATGCATCTGTAGATGTATGATAAGGTGCGGGTAGCCTTACTGACTGCTTCCTCGCATTGGCGGTTCATATTCATCCTAGAGTCAACAGCGACTCCAAGATCCTTTCTGCCACTGTGTTGACAAGAAGGGTGTTCCCCAGCCTATAGGTATGATGCTGGTTCCTTCTCCCTAGATGCAGTACTTTGTACTTGTCTGCATTGAATTCCACCCTATTCTCATCCACCCACCTATGTAACCTGTCTAGATCTAGCTGGATTCTGTCCCTCCCCTCCAGCGTGCCCACCGCGCCCCACACCTTGGTGTTGTCAGCGAATTTGGACAGCATGCTTTCCACACCCACATCCAGATTGCTGATAAAGATGTTGAACAGCACAGGCCCCAGGGCCGAGCCCTGGGGGACTCCACTGCCCACATCCCTTCGGGTAAAAAATGGCCTGTCCACCAACAACTCTCTGGGTGCAACCATCTAGCCAATTGCCACCCATCTGACTGTGTAGACATCAGTGCTGCAGTCACCTAATTTTTTTAAGAGAATGTGGTGGGAAACAGTGTCAAAGGCCTTCTTAAATTCCAGGAAAATGACATCCCCTCGATGCCCTCATCCAGGGACTTTGATCATAAAAGGAAACCAGGTTAGTTAGGCAGGATCTGCCCTAGATGAACCCATGTTGGTTGCCCCAGAGCATTACCTCCCCTGCTGGGCCCTTGCAGATGTGCTCCTAGATAATTTTCTCAAAATTAATTTTAAAAATTACTGTTTGTAAACAAATAGAAAATAAAAATTATAACTGTTATCAGTAATTGTCCTTTTATTTTTATAATAAAATTCCTAAAGGTATTGTAGAGATACAATTAGCAACCGTTATTGAATTTCATTCAAACAGTCAACCAGTTTGAATGAAGCTGGTTTGAACAAAATAAGAAGCAACTGAAACCAGTCCTTCAAACCCACAAAGAATAAAAGCAGCTTTCTTTTACATCATAAAAAAGCACACTCATGCTTGTACTTATGCTCTCTCTGCATGGTTCCTGTTTCTGAACATCTTTGAAAAAGGAATGGGGGCAGTGCTGGGGCAAAGTCCATTGACATGAGTGGTGAGACCAGTAACAGAACACTACATAATAGCTCACAGAAAAGCAAACTTCAAGAGAACTCCAACCACATTTTCAAATAATGAAATTCAGAAAAGCAGGCATAAATTGTGAGAACTTCTGCATATTTATCTAATATTAAAGAGTTGAGAATGTTGTGATACTGTGTGTGTGTGTGAACGTGTCTATGTGCACTGATAATTTACAACTGTGCTGATCTTTTGTTTTGCTCTAATTTTCATTTAAAACATCCTCTTCCCACTAATAACAGATAATGAGAAACCTATTACTTTTAATAAAGAATGCATGACAGGAGAGCAACCTCTTTTGCAAAGGGCAACACCATTGGATATTATTTCCTTTGATTCACCTTGTGCTACTTTGATAATGCTTGTCCCATGTTAGAAGGTAAAAACATCAACAAAACACTTTCCAATTTAAGCTCTCCTGAGGATTTGCACCAGCTACTCAGTTAATTTAATGCTGTTCAATTAACATATTCCATATTTGCAATATGACTAAGAAAAATAATATGGCCATCTTATTGTTATGACACTAAATCATCTTGAGACTAGTTTTCCTTTCTCCTTCAAGCCATTTCTCTACAATGCATCATTATTTATAACTTCTTTCTTTGTGGTCATACAATTGATCTTTATAAAATGGTACTGTTATAAAGAAAGCAAAGTCTAATAGAAACCATGTTGCAGAAACTTTTTAGTTAGTTACACCGGTATAGCAGAAAATATTTTATTTAGAATGGAAGTGGTATATACATTTTGATATCTAATTTCCATATAAGAACATACATTCCATTCTTACACATGAAAAACTTACCCTTACATGTTGAGAACATGCTGTTGTAAAAAGAATAATGCATTTTATACAATAGCCCTTATTTTAAAAGACAGGACTAAAAGCACAGAGTTTAGATATAGATGTAACAACCCAAGAAAGAGGTGACACGGTCATTAGAAATTTAGTTCCAATTCACAACTTGTATTTTGCAAGGAGGACTTCAACAACCTTTTTAAAAAACAAACAAACAAATAAATAAATAAAAAAGTAAGTCCCTTTTTTATTCCCAGAGACCTCTGATTCTTATGCTGCTGCTATTCTATGTACCTTATTGATGAGTTCTCCAATCATGCCATTCCAAGAGCTGTTTGGCAGCTGTTGTCCATATTTGCCATCAGGAGCTTGATAAATCTCATACTTGAAGCCCAGATTCTTGGCGAGGGCATCCAAGACATCAATGGAAAATCCTTTATAACGCTTTGGTTGCCCCAGTATATTCTCTGCTACCATCACAAAAGGCTCTTCCTGAGAAGAAAACAACGCCTTTAAAAAATGCTTAACAAAATGGATCTAAACTGATCTAACGTTCACCAGCAAAGTGTTTCTGCTGTAACAATACTAATACTCAAGATTCAGAGCTTGTTTCTTTAGAAAGCAATTGAATATTTATTCAAAGTATGCACCAAAATAATAACTAGAACCCCCTTTTATTACTTTTATTTTATTGCTTTATAATTATGACTAGCTTTATGGAGGCTGGTGCCTTAAATGCTTTTTCTTTTTGACTGAACAAGACACGCTTCGGGAACTATGGGAAAGAGAATCCTGTGGTGTGAGGATGTTTTAGTCTGATGCAAACTGTGTGTTCTTTGGCCAAAGGCATGGCAACCCTCCTGCTTTTAGAGCCATTGTTAGCCATATCAGCAAAGTAGTGTTGATGTCCTCTATGGATGGAGCTTCTCACCTCCTCTGTGGAGGGAAGAAGATATGACCAAAGCCATTACCAGTCAGAGGGAATAAAGATAAGAACATATGGAAAGTTGCCCTAAAGATCTAATATACTTTCCCATGTCTCTCTAATGCACTTTGATATAGGAGAAGAAATACATAGGCCATAACTTAAGAAACTTACATCCTTTAAACTGTACACTATAGGATCCTTCAGCCAACAGATAAATAATTGCTATGGGCAAAAGTTTCAGTTAGGAAGAAAAAATATCACTATGTGGTCACCCTGTTGAGCACATTAAGTAGGCATAAGGTAAGCATTCCCTTAGCAGGTATGTTTTAGTAGCTTAGCAGTGCTACAATTAAATGAAACAAGCCATTTCCTTCTGGAAATATATTCAAACCAGATTTGCTCCTAATTTAGCATTTAGCTAACTGGAACCCTTAGAATCATAGGAAAGTAGGGTTAGAAGATGCCTCATGAGGTCATCTAGTGATGCCCTCTGCTCATGGGTAGTCCCTGATTAAACCATCCCAGCCAAGTGCCCATCCAACCAGCTCTTGCAAACTTCCAAGGATGGAGATTCCAGTTTCTCCAAGTAGCCTGTTCTAATACTTAACCACCCTCAGAGTCAAATAGGTTCTCCTAATCTCCAAACTAAATTTCCCGTTGCAGGTTGAGGCCATTGCTCCTAGTCCTGTCCTCTATAGCCACAGAGAAAAGCCCATCTACATCCTTTCTGTAACTGTCCCCCAGGTATTTGAAGACTTATCAAAACCCTCCTTGGTCTTCTCTTCTCCTCTTGCTCTTTCAGCCTCTCCCCCCCCCCCCCCCCGTCTCCTCCCCCCTCCCGCTCCCTCCCCCCCCCCCCCCCCCCCCCCCCAGTTTCACTTCCCAGGCCCCTAATCATTTTTATTACTCTGTGATGGACTCTTTCCAAGCTGTCCATATCCTTCTGAAAGTGTGGGGCCCAAAACTTAATACAGTACTCCATGCAAGGCCTTACCAGTGCTGAATAAAATGGAAAAATCAGTTCCCTTGATTTACAAGTGATGCTCCTACTAATGCAACCCAGTATGCTGTTGGCTTTTTTTGCAACAAGAGCACACAGCTGCCTCATATTCATCTTACGGTCCTCTGTAACCTCCAGGTCCTTCTTTGAAGTACTGCAAACTAGTCAAGTCATTCCCCAGTCTGCATTTGTGCATGCAATTATTCCATCCCAAGTGCAGGACTTCACACTTATCCTTGTTGAGTCTCATCTGACTGATTGTGGACCTTTTCTCTAGCCTTTCTAGATGATTCTGGATTCTAGCCCTACCCTCCAAAGTATCTGCAACTCTACCCAACTTGGTGTCATTTGCAAATTTGCTAAGTGCAGACATGGTTCTTTGTGTGAATCCAATATCATTTATTAGACCAACTAAAATAGTTTGAAAATTCTTCTTTGCAAGCTTTCAGGTACAAACACCCTTCATTAGGCTGAGGAAGCATCTGCAGTTGGTCAGATGCTTCCTCAGCCTGATGAAGGGTGTTTGTACCTGAAAGCTTGCAAAGAAGAATTTTTCCAACTATTTTAGTCGGTCTAATAAAAGATATCGGATTTACCTTAAAAACCTTATCTGCCTATGTCCTTAGACCAACACAGCTACAACCTGAAATTTAGTAGGTGTGCACTCATCTGTACCATCTAAGTAGCTTATAGAGAGTGGGCCCCCGTCAACACATATGGACTTTTCCAGGGAAGCCCAGACACCCTTCTAAAACACATGCTTTAGCTTAACAGAAAGTTATGGCCTTAATGGAAGACTCATTTCATGAAATGCTATGACCTCTGCTGTACAGAAGTTGGAATTGATCATCAAACTGGTCCTTTTTGGACTTAAAAACCTATGAGTCTGTGGTGTGGGGCCTCAGCCTAGTTTTCTGCACAAGATAATTTTTATCCTAAAAAGACTATTCAAAATAAGCACCATATCTCAATGCCCATTACTCTAAATCACAGCTGTCCAACTGGCAGTCTGTAAGCTGCATCCGGTCTAAGGGGAGTTAACATGTTGACTGTGGCTCCCACCTGGCTACACTCCCTGCGTTGTTTCTGTGCCTGTGGCTGATATGGTCTCTGTACATGGGAAGAGTCATGCTATTCATGCACCAGGCATCCTTGGGAGTCCACACAGCATGGAGCTTTCATAGCATGTGGTCCAGGACCTATGAACAGTGCAGCCTACAGCGCCCAAACACACAAGATGGACACAGCCCTGCTTTAATTCAAAGACTGTCTATAAATTGATAACAGCAAAATAAAAGGGCACTGTGCATCTTTCTTGTTTATGCAACTGGTCAGACTAAGTAGATGATGTGGATTTAAAAGAGGTAAGGGGAAACATTGAGGGAATGTTCTGTCACATCATTTTTCTTTTGAATATTTTGTTCCTGAACTCAAATAGAATCATACCAAGACAGTCACCACTTTCAGTGTCAATCCTTGTAAATCAGTGCCCAGACGCCGCTCTTGTAGGCTGCCATTTAGTCCTTTTTCAGAGTCCCATGTTGCCAACTAAAACAGAAATAACACAGCGGATATGGAATGAATAATAGGTGCAAGCATTTCTAAGTTACATAAAACACTTATGTGATGTTTTATAGTTGAATATGCAGAAGGATAGCGGGGAGAAAATGAGATATTTTACTCCTCAATAGTGTTGTAATAATAACAAGTAAAGAGATCAATAAATGGACATTTTCACTGAATGTTTCTTCTTCCGTGCTTGTCACAATTAACCTGCTTTGTTATCTATAATACTTGCCATATGAGTTCATTTAAATCACTTGAACTAACTTTTCTTTTTGGCATAATCCTCAAGATTATCTATGTTCCTACCACCCCACCTCTCCTTCGTTGATCCCATCTCCCCCATTTCCTGCTGCTTATCAAAAAACAGATTTCTTATTCGGCTGCACAACCCTGCAGCTCAAAGATGATGATAATCTTGTGGTTCATAGTTGAGTGAAAAACCTTGACATTGTTATTATCATGTGCAATGCACTTTCCTTCTATCTGCATGGGTAAGATTCTTAGATTTTTTTGCAATCTTGTTTAAAGAGCTATTTTCTTTCCTTGTCCTATTCCTCCTCTTCTGTCTCCAAAAAAACCTATCAAATCCTTTTCTTTTGAGCAACAAGGCCACTGAAGATCAAACATCCCATAATTCCTGAAACATACGGTTTGATGCACCCTGTTTAAACTCAGCCCTGCAATACTCACTGTCTCTAAATACATTATTTTTCAGGTAAATATACTGCATTAAACTGAACAGCATTGAGTTTTCTGACAGAAGGTTTAAAGCAGAAGTCATTCTCCAAAGGGCTATTAGTTCTTCATAATAAATATGCTCCCCAAAGTCAGTAGCTCCTTTTCACTTAAAATAGAAAATCAAGAAATCATTTATTCTTAGTGGGTAATAAATGATACAGAGGTCCAAATCACTTACATTTGTTGTCAGTTCTTCCTCTTGAAGTTTAATAATATGCTGTGGTATATAAAATTATAATTGGTCTTATAATTAAAAATTAAATGGTCCTTAAAATTATAAATGGTCCAAAGACCTATGAGATGTGATTTCCTCCTACTCAAAGTTAATCCTTAGCATGGACAGATCCAGGATGTGGTGTGGGGAGTGGTGCAGAAGCAGTCACCCGCACTGCAATGGTGTCAGGACCCCCCACTTCCAGTCTCCAGCACCCTAAACTGGTAGGAACACCCACTGCAGCAGCCTGTGGGGACTTTTTTATGTCCTCAAAGCACATAAGAGTCCCTACCTTCCCCTCCATGCTCAGAGGCACTTCTCCTCCCCTCCCCTCCCCTCCCCTTTCACCCTTCCCTTCCTATTGCTATTGCTTTCTCCACTGCCCCAGGGGCATGGAAGCTTCAAAACCACTCCTGCCCATTCCAGCTGAGGTATGTGTGGGCTGGGAACCGCAACAGCTGCAGCTAGGCTGACCACCCATCCACTTGTAGGCTGGCAGAGTTCCAGCCTGCAAGGGGCTGCTGGGAGAAGGATGAAGGGGGCACCACATGCATGTGTGCACCTGCATACATGAATATGGTGGGCAATACAGCCAGGCAGTATGGAGAACAGTTCCCTGCAGCTAAGTCTTTTGGGGAGGGGAAAGATTGAGGCCTCCACAGTTTGGGGAAGAGTAAGGCAAGGGATGAGGGCATTGCTCAGCAAGGGCAGTGCATGAGGCTTGGGGCTGGTGTGGGGGGAAGCTCCCTATCATTGCATGCACCCCATGAGGGAATATGAGGTGTATGTGGCCCCCAGATTTGTGCACAGGGTGGGGTTGGATGTGGGCTGCCTGAAGGGAGCTGGGGCTTTTTGACCTGTTGCCTTGCTCCCAGGAGCCTCTCGCTGACTGCACTGCCATGGCAAGGCACCTCCTGGCTTCCTGGCAACAGCGGGGGGGAGGAGGCATGGCAGCATGGAGTTATACTCCCTGCTGCTGCTGGGCGGGCAGGAGACATGCAGCTGGTGCAGGGGTCCTGGAGGAAAGGCAGCAGGACAGGTAGCCCTGAGTCCATAGTAGGCAGCCCGTATCCACTCCTGCTCCATTACACTCTGCTCCAGCTGTGCAGCTGGTGTAGACGGGGAGGAGATGGAAAGGTGGGACACATGTCCTCCTCCCTATTTTGAAAAGGTGGTCACCCTCGCTGTAGCAGGAAGATGGGAAGGGGAGTGGTTCCCACACCCTGCCTGGTCTCCCAGGCATAGGGAAGGGGAACCCCCCTGCCCATCATCTCTCTTGCTTTCACTGTTCCCAGCTGAGCTAAAGGTCTCCACCCAAAGACCTGCTTTAAAGCTTTATTCCACCCCAGACCAAGGGAAAGCAGAAGCATCAGGAGGGGGAGGGTGGAGAAGGGATGGAAAGGGGACATGCTTGAGCAATAAGGGGAAGGAAGGGGGTTCTTTTGTGCTTTGGAGACTTTAAAAATGTCTTCAGAGGCTCCCAGGCTGGATCCAATCTGAAAGGGGGGTTGCAGCCCCTCAGGATCCACCCCTGATCCTTAGGATAAGTAGCCAAAATCTTCCTGAGAAAGAACATAATATGGTGATAATGTCACTGGTTAAACTTTAATTTAACAGTGGCAATACACAACCCAAGAACAATAACAAGAACAAATTTATACTTTTATTTGCTCAGCAATAGGCTGATGATTAGAAGTGAAACAAGGGAATACTCAACTGTAATAGTGATCACATAGCTCCATGTCAGGTGAATGTTTTGTTTGTCATACTGTTGTAAATGGACAGTTTAGTTAGTGTGGGTATCAGAAAAAGGTTCATGTCCTCTGAAAATGGGAATAGTGTAAGAAAAGTGAGACCTGATGTACTTTAAGAATTCCAAGTGCTGAGGGCTGCATAGGCATGAGTACTATTTGCCTTCCTAATGACATTCCCAAAATCCACAGTAAGCCAAATTTGAAGCTTCTCAACCTGTGATATAATTTTGGAAATGCTGCCTTGGGATATGCTATCACTTGCAGTAGCCCCCCTGAGCAAAGAAAGCTAGTTAGTGAAATTTAGAAGAAAATCTAGCTTTTCCATTTAATGTAATATATTTGTTCATAAAAGATGTCAATATTTTACTCATTTTTGTTAACATTCCATGAAAAAAATCAGATTCTCATCTTCCATCAATTGGCATATCTCAGTTTATTTAAAGGAAGTTAGGTGACTTTGCATTAGTTAAAGATATGGCTGCAGATTTTTTAGAAAAGGATAGCGAAGCATACTTTCTTTTCACCCCTTTTAATTATTAAATTAAGAATACCTTGCCCCACCTATATAAGGATTTTTTTCATGAGGCTATACCTTTTGAATATGGCAACCTATTTCAATTTTAAATATATTCCATGCCATACCTGTTATGCTCGGAACTTTCAAATAGGACCAGGAAATATACCACACAAATATAAATCTATGTTTTTGCTTTAGTTTAAAAACAGGAGCACTGGCAGAGAGGGCTTTGGTTCCTCATATATGAGACGGATGAGGTTGAGGAGCAGGGTAATATATCAAAACCATTTTTGTGGTTTCCTTTATATCACTCCTGCCTGCAACTGCACAATTTTGTATGCAGAAGTAAATTTTCCAGTCTATAAAAAGTAAATGATGCAGATGAGATTGATAAATGGAACATGAGGAAAACCTTTCACCAAAAGGGATTTTTACTCTGAATTTTTGTGCTTCAGACCATCTCATTTTTCAAAAGTGTGTCAATTTTGACTTCCATTTGTTCTTGTGGACAGAATGTTTTTTGTTTTTTTTTATAGGATTGATGAATTTACAGATACAAACACCAATTCTTGACAGCTGACCTGTCAAGATTCAGTGCCTGAAAAACGAATTTCCAGCACTGTTAAACAAAACAAGTGCTGCTTCTGTTTGATAAGACTGTTACAGCTTTCACTCTTCGTGGAAATGTATTATGTTCCTACCAGCTACGTGAAGGCAAAGGTTACAGCACAATCATCCACTGATAGGAAATACATAGCTTCTAAATCTGATTATGACAAACAACTACTTGCAAGACCAGCCACTTATAGAATAAATTTTATAAACCACTGGTCTCTATAAAATATACTTGCTGAAGCAACCCAGAGTATTTTTGATTCTCCAGTTACTGAATTGTGGGGTTTAGGCTTCCTGAAAGCACATTCAAGTAAGCTTTTCACTTTAAACTTTGTAGCTAGGCTCTCTTTCTTCTTATAATTGTTTGCATAAAAAAGGTCAAATAACACTAAAGCCTAAACTAGGAAAACAACTATAATTCTTGATGAAATACTACTTTCTTTGAAAATTCTGGCTGACCATCTTTGACCTGAACAGCAGAAAAAAGTTGAGAGAAACTAAGAACTGTAACATGATTCAGAGCCCATAAACACAACCCATAGTCATAAATGTACATTTCACCATACTATAGTAAAACAACTACTATTTGTCTACTAATCTGGTAATGCCACATCGCAAAAGGTGTCATTGTATGAGGTGTTGGAAGCATCTTGCCCACATTTTCTGATGGGGAAGTGAAATAAATATGAAGCACTCAATGTGTTTTGGGCTCCCATCAGTAAGTCAGAACCAATCAGCTACCAATGGGAGTTCAAGTCATAAAAGTCAGTCAGGATTGGTCCCTTACTTACATAATTAGCCCAGCTACATCAGTGTATCTGATCATGATTTCACACCATAAAGTATCTAGAATAACTACACAGATATCAATGTAGAATTGATGAGAATAAGAACAGAACCTGATAAACTGAGACAGTTGTTAAAAATATAATCTTTTAATACAAACAAGCTACACAGAGATATACAAGTATTGCTACCCTGTTTTCACCTGAGCAGTTAGTCCACATTTCAGGAGAAAGTAAAATGATAAAATCAGTTATATTTGTAGTACAGGCTTTTTATTTATAAAGAGTGTATAAATCCTGTTTTCTTGCCCATAGCTCCGTGCCTCTGAGTCTTAAGTTACACCAAAAACTCCAGAAAT